GGTTTGTGTAGCAGGGAGGCATGGGGACTTTTTGGATGTCCAGATAGACTGTTACAGTGGAGTATACAGCGTCGTAGGCCGCTGTAACGGTCTCAAAGAAATGAAGTTGGCAGCCATTTACGGATCTCTGGGATAGGAATCCGCACTGTCGGTCATCTGTGGCGTTTGTAGCTAGGAGAAACCTGATTAACGGGCCTTTGATCAGACGTTCGAGGGTTTGCAGTAAAAGAGGAGTATGAAGAGGAGTTGAATCCCTCAGTCACTGGACGTAATTTGCCTGGGTCCGGATTTAAAATGAGGGCAAACAACAGGTTGTTTATACTGGAAGGGGACAATTTTAGAGTTTTCTGAGTGAGTAGAAGAAGTTCAGACAAGGGTTTTGACATATTGACTGCCATATCTCAGGACACGTGATGGTATGCCGTCGCCTCCCGGCACGGCGGAGTCTTTGAGGGCTTGAAGAAGGGCTGATAAATCAGCTAAGGAGATGCTCACGTTGCTAATCTGTTGCAACGTTGTTGCAACGCTGTTACTCTGTTGTAGAGATGAGGTGTGTGGCGAACGTTGTAGGGTTGAACTTGACAGAAAGCGGTAAGTAGCAGCCGAAAGAGTAGGCTTTCAAGAGGTCAGCTATATTGACATGATGAGTGACACAACTACCTTCGGCGGAGCGCAGACATGTGACTTGGTGACAGTTTGGGTTACAGCGTCAACGAAATTGGCGGCCGAGTAATTTACATCTAGAACGGTCCCTGAAAGCAGTTCTCTCTTCTCAGCATTCGAGGGAAACCAGTGAGGACCCTTGGTCAGTTGAGAGCTTGTTGATGAGTATCAATGAGATTTCCGATATCCTGTGTCGGCTCGGTGTATTTTATTGTCCAAGGCTTTCGATAGCTTATCATGCCAAGAGATGCCAGGGTAAAAACTCTTAGTGGGAGAAGCAAGGTAGAGAGAGGTCAATAGGTTCTGGTTGAAGATATCACAAATACGTTGTGTATCTGCTGAGCGAAATAAGTCGTTCCAGTCCCGGGAGGCCGGCAGGGTTGAAAAAGCCAGCAAAATGTCCGGAGTCGGGAGGTGAAACAAAGAAGGACTCGTAGGAACAGCTTCGCCAAACCTGACTGCATTGCATGAAGCGACGCAGTGATCGCTAACTGGGAAGCATGGACCAACTTCAGTCGTAGCCAAATGGTCCCCATTTGAAAAATTGAGGTCTAAGGTGTGTTCCCCACGAGTGGGGCCACGTACAGTCTGAGACCAACCCTCTACACTAGGTTGGACAAGCAGCGAAGCATAACGAGCGGGGCCCAAAGTGTCGGGACCGCCGCAGGCTATTCGCACAATGAGATTGGGCCCAAAGGGGACCGCCGCAGGCTATTCGCACAATGAGATTGATTTCTCGAAATCTACGGCATTTTCAGACTTGCCACTTCACAGTGTGTGTA